GCCCGGCTAATTTTTTGATTTATTGTAGAGATGAGGTCTCACCTGCCCAGGCGGGTCTCAAACCCGGGGGCTCAGGCAATCCACTCACCTCAGCCTCCCAAAGGCGCGGGATTACAGGCTGAGCCACCGAGCCCGGCTACGAGTATTTTATTGTTAATAACAAAATACTTTAATTATCTGGTAATTCAGATCAAAACAATGAGTTTCACTAAGTCATTAGTGTAATGTGGCTATGAAATGGAGTGCCTTCTTCTGTATATTAAAAATGACCTTCTGCCTCGTTCCCAAATGTGATGGCCATATACCCCCCTTTTAAAAATTCTTAAATACAGGTTGATCTTACCAGTGTACTTGATAAACTAGCAAGATGTTTGAGTTAGAAAAAAACACAAAGACTTCTTCCAGGATTCTTATTTTACAGTTATGGAAGTTAAAGCTTGTAGTAGTTTATGTTTTCCTCACATTCCTTGATTCCAGATTCCAGCTGTATCACCCATAAACGATGTAGTTAGAAAACTAATAATTGTTACACCTGAAGATACTTCTCAGCAGTGCATTTGGGTCTCTCTGGCAATAAAACCCACCTCTTGATGGTCTAGAAGCCAGGGCCTGGCATTTCCCAGGAGAGAGGCATGCAGACGGTCTTAGTGGAAGTACCCAGAACCACCACCCCTTTAATTAATCATTGACCTTATCTCCTCATCCTGAGAATTCCCGGAGGGTGTTTCCAGAGCTAAAATCACACCACTCCCAAGTCTGGTGCATACCTTTTTTCCTGCCTTTGTTGGTTCAGATTTCTTAAAGCCTTGAGGTTCTCAAACCCAAATGCTTTCAGGACTCCAGCAGCTAAGGTAAACAAATGAGGCTGGCCAATGTAAGACTGGAAGAACAAGCCTTATTCGCATTCAAAGGTTTTACACCACTGGGTTGTCCATGCACAAAACCTGGGCAGGCCAGCAAATCGGCTACCTCTGATATAGGGAATAGAACCTAATTAGGAAACCAGGAGGCCTGGTCACCGCCATAGGTTCCTGGGTACCTCGGCACAGCCTTCCCTTTGCAGAGCCTCAGGTTTCTGCATCCGTAAGAAGTGGGTCTCTAAGGCTCCAAGGCGCCACCACTTCTTACAGTCTCACTTCATGATCTCTGATAAAATACATGTCTCAAAACCAACTGGAACCTCTGTCTGTCTGTCTGACATCTATTTGCGAAGTGCCGGCCAGGCCTGTTTGATCTGACTTTTTAGACCTAATGTCATTTTTAGATCTGGTGTCACTGAGGTCTTTGTTGGATGGGTTTGTGTATTAACCTTAAGTACTTTTTTTCCTGTTAAAAAAAATGGCCTATATTAACCATCATTCTGGTACCACTTTCTATGTCAGAAGTTAATACATACATGTATATATATATATATATATATATATATATATGTATATGTATATGTATATATATATAAATTTTTTTTTTTTTGGTCAGTCGTCTCTTCTTTCTGAAAGCAGTCATGAGCAGACAAGGGTGTTCTCTTCGTGTTGTTTCAGGGAAAATAGAGAAAGTCAAAGCTCCTCCATCCCCTACCACTGAAGGCCCCAGCTTGCAGCCTGACTTAGCCCCCGAAGAGGCTGCCGGAACCCAGCGGCCCAAGAATCTGATGCAGACCCTCATGGAAGACTATGAGACACACAAATCTAAAAGGCGCGAGAGAATGGATGATAGTAGTGTAAGTCTTTCCTCCTTTCCTCTTTGTCTTCTCCGAGGGCGGCCGTCGGTGTGGCGTTTGTCATTTTGAGTTCAGGCACAGATGTGAATGTGGTTATCTGACCAACACCAGAGTTCCAAAATTAATGTCCTGATGCTTGCTTCAACATGCTTAGAGTTGGGTGTGGGTTTTGCCTCGTTTCCCAAAAGTGTCAATCATGCAAGGAGCTGGTCCTTTGCTGCCAAGTGTAGTTGGAGCCCACTGATAAGGCTAGTGTGTGAGGTGTTTGGTGTTTAGGAAGGTGGCATGCGAGGGCCATGTGAGGAAGAGGATGGAGACACTCTGAAATCATCTCCAGGCACCAGGGAGTTGATTTCCATCATTGCTTGGTGTGCTTTGTCAAGATTTTATTTCTCTAGGGAGCGATGAAGATGCTGTTCCTTCCAAGTCGACCCTGTGGGCAAACCCTGTAAACGTTACACGGTGCTCAAAAAGCCTGAGTGTATCTTGGGCTGTTACCAAGCCCATGTGCATATCTTGGCAGGAAAGAGCCATTTAAAATGACAGTTAAAAACCGCACAGCTACCCTGCTACCCGCAGGCCCTAGAAACTTTGCACGTGATATTCACATTAGCTGTGAAGGAAGTCATCTGCTCTGTGGTTTCTTTGTCCAGTAAGAGACGAAGGAGCTGTTAGGAGTTGTTGTTTCCCAGTCCACAGGATCCTGGGGATCAGCCTCAGGGCTCATGCCAGCCTTCTAGGAGTCTCTTGGTATTATCTGAACACATATTGAGGTCATACCTCCTCCCCAGACCCCCTATTGCGTTAGATCACAAATAGCTTGGGTTGGTCGAGTATCCTACCCAGCTTACCCAGGACATACCTAGTGTATGCCTATTGTCCTGGCATAATTAAAAGCATCCCCTTTCACTCTTAAAAGTGTCCCAGTTTGGGTGGTAAACTATCTGGTCACCTTAAACTTGAATGCTATGGGGTTCCCAGTAGGAATTCCTTGCTCCTTTCATATCCAGGCTGGCTAGGTTAAAGAAGGCCAGATACTGAAAGTGGCTTTCAAAATACACAGTGGTAAAGAAAGGAAGAAAGTAGACACATATATAGCAGACACATATATAGCATCTCCCAGGCTCTTCCCTCGTGTTTACACCTGAACTGCCTGGAGCACTGCCTCAGCTACTCTGTTAGGCTGGAGCTACTCTGAATTGCACAGAGAATTGAGGCCTGGCCCTTGGCTATTGCTGTGGACACTTCCACTGCTGAGCTCCACTTTGGGAGTACTACCAGCTCCTTCCCTGAGACTGTAGGACTTTTCTTGCCCACTGAGTCACTTTAGCCAGCTTTTCTTTGTTGCCCCACTTAGAAGTATGGCATTCACCCTTAAGAATTCTTTGGAGGCTGCGGCCATTTTGAAGACTAATGCTCTAAGCATTTTGCTTCTTTTCTCCTAGTGATTCCATATTAGACGTCAGCAGCTTTGGTAGAACTTAGCCAAGTGGAAACATGCTGATGTGGATGGGAAAGAACAAGTAGAGCCACTTAGCATGTGACCCATGCAAGTGTTTGCTAAACACATGCCCCTTGTCTCTTGTATGCTCTTGTGCTGGCGTGCAGATGTTAGAGAAAAATCCTCCACTCATTTTATCCCTTCATGCACACACGTACACTCAGGACACCACCTGATGAGTGCTAGCCAGGATGGATTTCCTCTTTGCATTCATGCAGCTCCTTGGAATCAGTGTTTTAATATGCTTATTGTCCTTCACTTACGAAGTGAAGATACATCCTCCTCTCTCTATGTTCTCCGAGTAAATAAACATTGTGCATAAGGAGAAAACCTCCCAGCTAATCAACTCTTAATATCCCTGAATCTTAGATTCATGACCAAGTGTTTTTGCACTGTTATTGATGTTATAGTCCCACTAAATTTGTTGTTGTTGAAAATGTTTGGGAATAGGACAAAATCTACCCAATCCACTATATCTTCTTTTAAGAGACCCAGATCTAAAATAACACACTCAGATTGCTTCTAAAGCAAATAAATAATCATCAACCAGACTTCATATAAGAGTCTATCTTCTAGCCTTTCTGATTCAGGGGATCCTTTCTGTAGGATCTGTGTCAATCACTGGCAAACATGAACAAACCTTCATAGTTTTCCTAGCTGATCTGTGGCCCCTTCTCCATTTTTTTTTCTCTTCAATTGTTTCTTATACCAGAAGGATAGTAATAGTGGATGGATTGCTTGGTGGTTGATTTGTGTAACTGGCTTATCTATCCCTAGAAGTATAAAGTAATTTTGTTAAAGGTAAAGTAATTCTAGTCTCCTGTCTCTGTTCACGTGCAGTCATCTCATGGCAAAACATGATTTCTGAGACTCACTGTCCTCTGCGAGCCTCAGTGACTCACACTGATGCACCCAGTTCCACCCAGTCTCACACAGCATTACCCCCCTTCCCCCACCTCCATCTGCCAGTATTTCTTCCAGTAAGCCACTTGGCAGTGCTTTGGTATGCCCTTTTGGAGATGATAAACCACACACTCCTGAGGACCAGAGTGCCTCACATGTGGTTAGAACCCAACTGTGTGTTGGCCCTTAGGAAGCAGCAAGTTCTTTGGAAATTGAATGAAAAGAATTCTTATTAACTATGCTTCCTGAGGAGCAGGCGGACTTAAAACAGTGTGATCATTGGGATGTGTATATAGTGAGATATGTTAGTTACATTGATACTGAGGAGAGTGAAGGACCGGAGAAGGAGAAAGTTAGAGAACCCAAATTAAACCACCTCTGCGCTTTGCTGAATAGCTTTTGTCAACAGAACTGAGAAAGATTGATCTTTGCCATCAAACAGTGTTCCCCTAGCCCCCGTAAGAGCAGTGATGGAGTGCTGTCCACCAGTTCAGGGCCCAGCTCTCTTTAGTTTTCTCACTTCATAAAATGTCGTATGCAGGACAGGCAGGGAGGCCCCTGGCTCATGGAATTCCTGTCAGGGAGTGGTGTTATCAAAAAGTTATTTCTAACTGACCATACAGGAAGTCCCCAACATACAAATAAGTTCTATTCCAAGAGTACGTTTGTAAGTCCAATTTATTTTAAGTCCAACAAAGTTAGCCTAGATACCCAACTAATACAATTGGCTATATAGTACTATACCAGTGGTGCCAAAAATATATATGCACATTTTAAGAGATGTTTTCTATGTATCACTCTTAGTTTGCCATAATCAGAAGCGTCTAGATGCTGATGGTAACCACTCTGAGAACCTCTTGCAATTGCAGAAGTCAAACGTGTGACTTATATTCATCTTTTATCAGTATATATTGAATATTACAATTTCAATACAACTTTTTTCTTAAAATGTGTGTACATATTTTTTGCACCCTCTGTATTTAATGGGCTATACTGACACCTGGTATAGAGAAATAATATATTAAAAAACGCAGGTGCGCATCATTAAAGTTCATACCTTGAAAGTTCATATATAGCGGACTCAATGTATTTGTTACTAGCTCAGAACTTGAGCAAGTGCTCCCTCCAGTAGCCACAGTCTTTACTCACCTGGGCTGGCTTATTTGTTCTGCATGACATGACCACCAATGAGTGTCTCCAGCTCCACTTATTGATGGATCTCTTGGCTAATTTCTGAGGAAGGAGGATTGCTGTCCTCACCCCAAACCCCTTACCCAGCGCCATTTAGCAGCCTATACAAAACCTTTGGGTGAATTAGAAAAAGCCATCCTTTTTCCTCTGTAAGGATATAGCCCTGCACCAGCCACACAATTTGGGGGTGGAACAGGGGGCTGGGCTTCAGCACCATTCATTTCTTTAGCCTGATGGTTTTCTGCACACCCAGATGCAGTAATCCCACTCTTATTGTGAGTTTCCCTTATCTGGAAATGTTATCTTATTGTGGAAATGATGCCATTTCTGGTCAGTCATGCACCTCATAGTGGACTAGTGAAGCCTAGTTTCCTAAAGGGCTTCTGGGTAGCTTGCAAAGGGACTGCCTCAGAAGCAGAGTTGCCCACCCATGGGTTTGGAGGACATTTGAACTAGCGGACACACATGATAGGCTATTGGAGTTTTTTCCTTTAGGCACTAGGAAGCCCTTTAGGAAACTGAAACTATGATTCATAAATCCATGTTAAGTTGCATGACTGTGTTTAGGGGAACCATATTTTTCTGGCCAGTTCATTGTTTCCCCAACCTGACATGAGCCACAGAAGGGGAAGCTGATGAGTCACTGAGTCAGCGATGCTTTTGAACTTGTTGATGGATTTGCTTTCCCTTTCTCAGTTGAGGAGATGCTGGCCAGAGTCCAAATCACAGCTTCCTGGTGTTCAGCCTCCTGTACTTCTAGCATAAGATCCACTCTCTGTGGATTTTCCCTGTGTGCTCTCTCTCTCTCTCTCTCTCTCTCTCTCTCTCTCTCTCCCTCTTCTCAAGACCTAGTTACCGAGAGGTCTTCCAATGACTCTCTCTTGTTTTGGAGCAAGAGAAGGCCTCATCAGTTCTCCTGGGCTACATTAAAGCTGAGGGCTAATTTCTCAAAGAATTTCTGACACATGTTTCCCTTCCAGACCAGGACATACACTGAGAGTTGTGACCGTAATTCTCCCTAAGTAGGGAAAGGCCCCTCCCCTACCTAGGCTCTACAGGAAGCTCTGCCACAATCAGCAATGCTTTGTGCTGCCCCAGCTCTCTCTGAAGTTCTCACGGTGCAAAGGAGAGGAGAGCTCCTAACTCATTAGTGCCCAGCCATTGGCCTGATCATCGTAGAACTACAGTTCTTCTTTTCTTTTTCTTTTTCTTTTTTTTTTTTTGAGTTGGAGTCTCTCACTCCATCGCCCAGACTGGAGTGCAGTGGCAGGCTCACGACCTCCCCAGTGTCCACCTGCTCTAGCGATCCTTCTGCCTCAGCCTTCCAAGTAGCCAGAACTACAGGCGCACACTACCACGCTCAGCTAATTTTTTATTTATTGTAGAGATGAGATCTCACCAAGTTGCCTGGGCTGGTCTTGAACCTCTGGGCTCAGCCAATCCACTTGCCTCGACCTCGCAAAGTGCTGGGATTACAGGCTAAGCCACTGTACCTCGCCAGAACTATAATTCTTAAGTGCTACACAAAAGCAGCAGTCACTGGGTGTTTTAAAAAAAAAAAGAGAGGAAGCAGTGGGTGATCACAGCCATTTAAACAGTCTATGGCTTTTAGTGCCCCAAACCAATAAATGCCTGAAGTGTCCTGAGCAGTGTAAATGAAAGGTCATGACCACAGTTCTGGAGGGAGCTGTCCCAAGTTGGTCCTGCTGTCTCATTTCCCATAGTGAGGCTACTTTTTCTGTGCCTTTCTTGCAGAAGACACTTAGTCTCCTACAGGGACCAGAAGATCATTTTAGGCCCTAAATGCTTATAGTAATCCTAAACAGTCATCCTAAATGGTCATCAAAGACTCATCTGACACTCGGAAACTTATCCAGGTCCCCAAGTTTCTGCCAAGGGAGGCTGTATGGTCTCCCTAGGAAGGGCTACACTTTTGTCAGTTTCAGAGAATCTGCCTCCACAAACCGTGCATTCAAACCAACTCCTATCTGTACCTAGGATCTTAAGTTAGTGGAACAACAGGCTACAAGACTGCTTTGGGGTCCAGAGAAGCCTGCAGGAGAAGAAAAAGCTATTTGGCTACCGATTTTAGCAAATCCAAAATGGCTACCAAGGACCTTGCTGGCGGGCAGCTGGTTGTATAGAGGGGAAGGAATCTTGTTAATTCAAAGTGCAGAAAATGGAAGCAACATCTTGAATTAACAAAGTATGGCTTATCTGATATTGTTATTAATGAGTAACAGATTATCTAGTTACTCCAAAGCTATAGACTTTTAAATAAACTAATATCAGATGAAGTAAATCTTGGCATGGGTATAGAATTGTCTCTTGATGTTACTTCCCCTCCCGTTCACCCCTGGCGTGGTGCCAGTTCCCGGCGGAGGGGTGTTCTGTAAGTGTGTCTCTACCATGTACTAACCCTGGTCTTTTCCCTCTCTGCCAGTACACTTCTAAGTTACTGTCTTGCAAGGTGACTTCCGAGGTACTTTTCAACTTGTTTGTCTTGATCTTTATGAATGCATGATCTAGGTGCATGCTGTTGCATTTTGCCATATCCTGATGGGTTAAGTGAGAAAGGCAAGAAAAACGGTGTTTTTCTCTATATGTATCTCTCCCTGCCTTTTCTGAATTGTGGGACTGCCTCAAAATGTCGGAGTCCATGCAACAGTGATACACAATGCTGTGCTGTGCTGTTCTGTGCTGTGCTGTGTGGGGGTACTGGAGAAGACCTTGCCAACTCACGGATCTGGAAGAGGTTTGGACCAGAGGACACAACTGATGGGCTATTTGGGTTTTTAATGTTTCTCTAGGCATGAATAGCAAATACACTCTGGTCTGGTTGGAAGACAATCAAATGCAGCTCATGCAGACTGAGCTATTGATTCTCACTAGTTCTTTGTTTACCTTAACACACATCTGGAGAGTGTCATTCTATAGATTTAGGGTGAACCCTAATCTCTAGATTATTAAATGTAAACCAGTCTTTCAGTCTTTGAGCCTGTATTTTTGTTTTAGAAGCATCTTTAAGCATGGGTTTCCCCAGAAGTTTCCTCTTTTCCCTAACTTCTTTTTGCACGGATTTCACAAATATGTGTGCTATGAGAAAGCATAATGTTGTTCTCTTTTAAAATTTTTATGTTTTCCATTTTATTTATTTATCTATTTATTTGCTGCGAAGCACAATATTTTTTCATAATTTTCTATCTTTCTTTTTTTTTTGAGTTGGAGTCTCACTCTGTCACCCAGGCCAGAGGGCAGTGGCATGCTCTTGTTTACTGCAGCCTCAACCTGCTGGGCTCAGGCGATCCTTCTGCCTCAGCCTTCCAAGTAGCTGGAACTACAGGCATGCACCCCCATGCCCGGCTAAGTTTTTGATTTATTGCAGAGATGAGGTTTTGCCAAGTTGCTCAGGATGGTCTTGAACCTGTGGGCTCAGGCAATCCCCTCACCTCGGCCGCCCAAAGTGCTGGGATTATAGGCGTGAGCTGCCACGCCCGGCCAATTTTATTTCTAATTTAATTTTTTTTAAGATTAGAAAACATAGTTTATTTTAAAGTAAATTAGAGAGAGAGAGAGAGAGAGAGGAGATTCACCTCCCCAAGGTAGGGAAGGGGGCCAAAGCCAGGAAATATGGCAGCAGTCATAGCTCAAAGAACACATGGCCACACCAGAGTCTAGTAAGGCAATGGTGGCGATGATCAGGCAATGGCGGCGATGGTCTGGCGATGACCTCTAATTTAATTTTTTAAACACTTTTTAAAAAAATACAGAATTGTAGAGAGAATAATTTCTTAACAATTTATTGAGGCTTTACTATGTGTCAGGCACTGTTTTAGTTTCCAAGAATGCAGCAGTCAACAAAACAAGGTTCCTGATATCATGGAGCTGGCATTCAAAATTTCCAATAAAATAATATAATGAAATAATAAAACCCACCTATCCAGCTTTGTTTATTTATATCATTTTATAATATTTGTTTAATATTTTTAAAAGAAGTTAATACTGCAAATGCAATTTAAGCCCTCTTGCTATTTCTCCCAGTTTCCTCCCCCCTGACCCCTCCTGAGAGGTAACTTTTCTCAAGCTTGGTGTTATTTCCATGCATGGTTGTATACTTTTACTATCTATGTATACATATGTATACATAAGCAATATCTTATGGTTGTATACTTTTACTGTATATGTATACATATGTATGCATAAGCAATATCTTATTGTTGCATGTTTAAAATGTTCTACAAATGATAAATACGTCTCAGTATCCTCTGCTCCTTACTTTATTCTGTCTGCATTGTTTTGAGATGTGTCCATGTTGATAATTGTGGCTCTAATTCATTCTTTGTAACTGCTGTATAGTATTCTATTAAATGAATGTATCACTGTTTAGTGAATCTCCTATTGATGGAAATGTAGATTGTTTTCAAGTTTTTTAAAAAACCATTACAAGCAATACTTTAACGAATGTTATATGTGCTTCTTTGAAGAAGAATTTCTATTTATTTAGGAATAGAAGTACTGGTTATTAGACTGATACGTCCTCACATTTACTCACTGTTGTTTGTTTTGGCTGGGCATGGTAGCTCACGCCTGTACTCCCAGCACTTTGGGAGGCCAAGGCAGGAGGATTGCTTGAACTCATGAGTTCAAGACCAGCCTGGGCAACATAGCATGACTCTGTCCCTTTTAAAAAAAAATCTGATTGTTTCAACCTGTAGATTAATATATTTTTAAAGTCTCTCTATTTAGCAAAACAATTATGTTTATATGTAGAGCTGAACTGCTGATTATCAGTAGTTTTCTTTCATAAGGTGTAAAGTGAATGTTAAGAATATAATTCCGTGTACCTTCTTCAGTATCTGATTGTGGTTATCATTTGGAGGATGGCAGTTTGAGGCCTGTGTCCCCTTTGAGTCAGTTTAAAACACATATATCCAAGGAACATAGAATTAGGTAGAGTCTATCTTCAATTAAAGAGAAGCTGGGGGATAAAATGTTAATGTTAATATTAATAGGGTGACTGATACTGTTTAACATATCTGTCTTGTTTCAGATCCCCCCCAAAAAATCATCTGTGTTGATTGCTATTCAAAGTTAAGCAGTTCACTTGAATTCTGTAAGCATTAGAAAAATTAATATTAGAGAGTTGTTCGAGAGAACTGAAATTTTTCACCCACCAGACCTGAATTTGAATTAACTTGTGAAAACAATAACATTTTAAAGCAGATTCTTCTTTTATTTTGTACATCTTCCCCCTCCATTTCCACAAAGAGTGTTTATATACTTCTCCCCCCACAATCTTCAGAGCCAGTGATCAAGAGATGATGCTTGAGCATGGTGGCTTCAAGCATCAACTCTGCACCCAGAGTGCTGAGTTCAGATATTGGTTTTCCTCTTAGCAGAGCAATGCTGGGCAAGTTATGCAACCTCCCTGTGCTTATGAAAAATAGAATAATAATAGCATGAACCTCAGAATAGTAGTAAGGGTTAAAACAGCAACTGGTTCATTGTATGTATGATATAAGTGTGTACTATTATTACAGCCACAGGCATATGTGATTTTTTTGCCCAGAAAGGAATAGACTTTGGAAAGTAAATATTCATTGCTAAATTCGCGAGCAGTTTATAGGCACATACACACAGTCTGAATTAATTTGGAATGGTGCTCATTCAGAGACCTTCCCCAAGGGGTTGGCTTTTGAATCTTCCAAAGACCAGTTGTAGGATGACTTCACCCCGAGACAGCCCTGGGTCATAAACCTTGTTATGAACCCAAAGACAACTTTATATTCAAGTTGCTGGCTATTTCAGTAATGATCTGTTTATTTTCTCTCTACCATTATTACAGGCTTCAGATTTCATCAGAAATTCAGGATCATGTTAAGTGATCATACAAACTAGGGGAACAAATTAAGAAAAGAGAGCTCATTGTCAGTATAAGTGAATAATTTGGGCTCTTGACCAGTGTCTTTTCAAACCTAAGCTAGGCTGCATGTTTCTGTAATAATAAATATTTTTCTGCCCATTACACTTTATGTGACTATGCTTCATGAGGGAAGGGACTATTCTACCCTTGGCATGAAGCACTGTGCCTGACACTTGGTAGGAGCCCAATAAATATTGGTAAGATTGATGATAGATGGATTGTAACATGAGTTCCTGAAGAGCAGAACAAACTAAATTTGCTCAAGTTTTTGGAGAATTATAATTTGGGTTTCAATAGCAAGACAAAGAACACTCCCAAAGGATGAGGACCATATATTTTAGAACCTTAGATTTACTTTTAGCTTTGATGTAAACCTCTCTATTTGAATCTGCCATCTGAAAGGCAAACAGATGATCATTTTATACACTGTAGAGTTCTTTATTAAAATGCCTTATATTTGTATACCACTTAATATATATATGGCTTTTTTAGTCTAGTGATGCTAAAGTGAATTTTTGTGATATAAATATTATAGCTTATGCAGATCCACAAAGCTTGATGGACTTAATCTATATGTGTCCCATTGTTTAGAATTATTTTCTGGTTTGCTTCTTTGTGAAGACACTAGAACAGTCTATAGTTGTGGTGTCTAATATGGTAGTCACTAGCCACATGGGGTTACTTAAATGAAAATTAGTTAATATTAAGTAAAATTAAATCTCTAGCTGCTCAGCCACACTATCCCTATTTTGAGTGTTCAGTAGCCCCATGGGATTGGTAGCTACCATATTGGATGGCACAGAATACAGAACATTTTCATCACTGCATGAAGTTCTGTTGGACAGCACTTATCTATAGCTTGTAGAAATCTTATTTGTTGTCTAAAACCTTGATACAGAATCATATCTAGTTCGGATAAACTGGCAGAACATTTCATGAAAATTAAATCTTTTTATACTAAAAACTAGGGGTCAAATAGCAAATGAATTTTGTCTGTGAGATGAATGCATAACCAGAACCTCCCACTTCCCCTTTTCCCTGTGTCCCTCCTACTCTCCAGAAGTACCAGGTGTTTATTACTTTCTCCTCTCTTGTAGGTGCTGTTGAGAGAGGGAAAGGTGGAAAGAAACAGAGAAGTGGGTTTGTGTAATTAACCTCCATGAACTCTGCATAATTATTCCCCCTCTCTCTTCAGGTCCTTGAGGCCACACGGGTTAATCGAAGAAAGAGCGCACTGGCCTTGCGCTGGGAAGCGGGGATCTATGCCAACCAGGAGGAAGAAGACAACGAGTAACCTTCCTTCAACCCAGAAAGCTGATTTGGTGCTTGGGATACCAAGAGACCAAGAAATTAACAACTCAAAGCATTTTAATGGACTATTTATTACAGTGCAAACAAACCCAGCAATCCTTATGTAGACCAAAAGCTGCAATATACACAATGATTAAAAAAATGAAGGAGTCAAAAGAGAAAGGATTTCTTTGTGACTCAAAGAATCTCAGTGTCTAGATTTGGGTTAATCTACAATTGATCCAAAAGGACAAAGAGGTTACAAGCAAATAACATAGTGGCTGCAGGCAGAACTGAGACCAGCCTTGCTGGGTAATGAGGAAGAACCATGGTGGTAGGGCCATTTAGAGAGCAATAGCTAGTGCAGTCTACATGGTGTAGGGCATTGCTCTACACCGGTTTCAACTCCATTTTCTCCAGCAGCCGTAAAATGAATGACGTTTCTCTCCATATTTGCCCAGAAGAGGCAGTTAATGATTCCATTTCTCTTATATTTAATTATTTTTTATTGGGAACAATTTATGATCACAATCCATAAAGCCCATATTTTTAAGACAATACTTCTCTTCATGTTGCAAATACAATCTATTCTACATTAAGAGGCTGAGAAGGTGGAAGGAAGCCAAACCAAATGGATGATTTTAGCTTTAGGATTGTGTCTGCTTATGATATTGACTGATCTGCAGGTTATGAGAACACATTTTCACAGTTATGTTTCTTCATATGAAAACTATATTTAGTGGGCAACAACTATTTTTATGATGGGATGGGGGAATATATACATGTATAAAATCTGTACACATTGAACAACTTGGTTCAAGATGGTAGGGGTATTTTTAGAGGGCAATAATTGAAAAAAAAGGGGGGCAGCTCTGCTTTAGAGAGGTAGATGACAAGAAATAAAAAGGAGTTTATAACTATTTTGTATTATAAAGTGGGCCTTAGAGGTAGGAAGAAGAATGATGGATTTTTTGGATCAATCAGAAAGAAAACATGAAAGAAAAGTCATGAAGGTAGAGAGGAAAAAAAGGAGGAAGGGAAAAAGAGGGGGAAGAAAATAAGAAGGTAAGAGATATTATTTTTGCTGAGCAACCGGTGTTTTCAGGATGATACAAAGAAAAATATTGAATAGAAATTTAAATGCAGGCTTGGAATCAGCTACAAATCCTAAAGATGGGGTGTGTGTGTGTGTGTGTGTGTGTGTATACCTTTGGGTGTTTGTGTAAAATGTGTATGTTCATGAGAGAGAGAGAGAGAGGGCGTGTGGGTGTGTGGATTAAAATTCCAGAATGATCATGGCACTTGGGTGTACAGTTAATTCCTCCAAAGCTGCTTGCCGGCTTCAGGAGTAAATGAGAATTTCTTTTTTATGAAAAGGGATATGCAGTATTTGTAATATTAAATTGACCTAACATGGTATTTGCATGAGTCACAATTGCAGAGTTTTGAGCAGTTTTGTAATTTGACATTTAGAAAAGTATGCTATTTATTCCCATGCTTTGTATTCATGCTTAGTATACTAGAGAGGATGCCAGCTTTAATCTTTCTGTCATTTAAAGCAATATGATAAGGGTATTCAATAGTTGGATACCCTAAATTTCTGGATGAGAACATTTTCAATTCTGGCCATAATAGAAAAACTGACCAGCCTTCTTTTTATCCCCCCCGCCCTTTGTTTTAAAACTATGGTTTTTTTTAAAAAGAGCAATAATTAAGTCAGACCTCACAAAAATTCATTTTTGTTTTGTCATAAACTCTTGTATGTTATTCTAACAAGTAGCGATTCTACGAAATTTGTATGTAGATGTTATACATGTTATCTTTGCTGCTTTTATTAGACTAATGTTGACTTTGGGGAGGAAGTTTATTCACAGACAAGTAGTGGGCATGAAGTGAAAAATGGAACTGTCTAATAACAAGGGTCCATTAGACCCACCAAGGGAACCTGTATTTTGAAGCCAAATTCTGCAGATGGTAGCCAAAATAGCACACCAACAATTGGCACCGTCTTTATATGGTTCATCCTCCTAAAGATTCTAAATGAATTTTCAACAAAGTGTGCTAGCCATTGGGAACACAAAACAAATACGATCCATGCTGCAAAGAACTCCGTTTACACTGGCGTGGAGACAAACATTCTCAGCAAAACGAGATCCACGTTAGTTAGCGGTCCTAACAGATGAGATCGGAGTACCAGGAAGGAAGACTGCCTTTGCCTGAGAACTTCCAGCAGAGGTGCCAGATGCCTGGGCTGAGGACCCAGAGTTAAGAGGGCATTCCCAAGGCAGACACATGGATAAGAATAGAGGAGGCAGAAGTTTCCAGTGGCCCCAGACACAGTGGCAGTTAGTATGGCTAAAGAGTAGTATAGTTCTACGGGTTGCACAAAAAATAATATGTGCTTCATGTTTTCTGGACTGACTCTTGGATCTGGTAGAGACCACAGACATGATATAGACTAACTTCCGCAGTTTTTTACATGAAGAAACCATCCTTATGACTTACCTTAAAGGTTTTTGCTCTGTTTTGAAGGGAACCATGTACCCATGTGAAACCTACATTTGAGAAGAGAATGTGCAGCTGAAGGAAAAGTTTAGGAGGCCACACAGTTCACGGAATCACTTGAGAGGCAAACAAAGTGGTCTTTGACCAGAGTTGATTGGACCAGAAGCACTTATTGCTTAAAGGAATAACAGAGTTATGGCGTTGGGGCCTTCAGGCTGCACTCCATGTGTGGGTAAGAGTGGATAAGGAAAGAAATGCTGTTTCGGGAACTCTCCCATAATCACAGAGCTCTTTTCACTGTGGCCCCTACATCTCTGCTGTTTGTTAGATCCCCCACGCTGTCTTTCGGATGACTACTGTATTCTTGCTCCACTCACTGAGGACCCTATTATAATCCTACTAAAATGTTAATTACAATTCCCTTGGGAGAACCAGATTTTCTCTGTGCTTGAGTTTTTTTATTCATTCAAGAAACCCTGGGCCACCACTTCTTTGTACATAGCACCGAGCTAGGCTCTGGGATCCCAGATGAATTTCTTTAACTTTCTGAAGATGGGACAGACCCCTGGAGGAAAGTCATTCTTGCCTAATCCATTAAGAGGCCATGAAAAACTTGGCTTCTGAGGCTCGGCCCCACCCCCACATAGCATACAAGCTTGTTAATCTCAACTATAGCCAGTGTTTGGATTCTGTAGGTGTTCAAAGCTTTCCTGAAAAATTCCATTCTACAGTGTTCATAGGTGTTCGCTTTCCTCCAGAGCTGATTAACTACTGACATGCCTTGGCTTTCTCATCCAGAAATTTTGGAAACAGGGTCTGTCAGTGGCAGGAGGCTGGGCTGTGTTCGACTTGGATGGCACAATGCAGTGTACTTGCTTCTTCATACCCGTGCATGCTCCCCACCCCTAGGCAATGACATATAAGCAGTATATAGATCAGTGTCCACATATATATACACACATATATAAAGCATAACAGGGAACACTAAAACAGTGTTGACTTTCGTCTCTAAAGACAAATAATTAAACAGTTTTTTTCCAACTAAAGAATGGATTTAATTAAACTAGGTATTGTGAACAAAATAGCCTAAGTGTTAGAGATGGTGAATATATCCAGTTTTAGTTACACAACCAATTTCCTGAATTTGAAGCATTCAGTGAGCTGCCAATTTTGATTTTGTGTTGCTCTTTACCCAAATGACTTTTTCTTTCTTTTTCTTTTTTTGGGAGGAGGGAAAAAAAGCAATACTGTGTTTGAAAATTATACTCTGTATCTGGCTTTCCTGTGTATGTTAACCACTTAAATGTTATTATCCTGCTTTGGTTTTATAGTGATTGTGAGGCATTCAATGCAAGTATACAGTTATTTTCTCATTAAAACCCAATGTGTGTTGAGTTTTTATAAATGATGGCTGCTTGTCTGACCATGGGGGAGGGCGGAAGGAAGACTGGGCAAACAGTGGCATGCAAGTGTCCTTGTTCTCTACTGTATTACAACATCTGCTTCCTCACATTTGAAACAAAGTAAGCCATCTGAGCTGATGGAGTGCCACTCCACCAGACTGTTCCCCAAAGCCCCCCTTTCAGTGTTGTCCCAGCCTCCCTGGCTAGATGCTAGACGCCTCCAATGGGACCCACAGAAATGATGCAGGTGTCTCTTGAGTTCACGGGTAGGCTCCAAAGCCAAACAGCAGGATGAACCCTAAACTCCAGGCTTGCATGTGGCTCTTAAACTCTAACCTTCATGATTATAATCCAGGTACCTATATCTGGCTCTCCTCTGCAAGGAACAGAACTCCAGACTAAAGAGCATGCCTAGGAAGAACACAAGTTCATCAGGAAGCTTCCTCCCCAAATTTCTTCCTACCGTCTCTTCTACTTTCTCATTTCCCCTTCAGTCTCCAGCTGCTCCATTCCATAACCCGACCCTGGACCCCAGCCCTTTGACCTCCTGCTTTTTCTCCCTCACCCTTCCTTTTCCTTGCACTTTATTTCTAGCTGCCTCTTTCCCCCTCTCTTCCTACGTGTGAGTCCTTTAATCATTTTTTTCCCGATGATTTCCAACTGTATCTTCCTACTCTGAACATCTGGGGGCTTTCTTGTGGCACCCTGTCATGAGTTGACATCTTCTAACCTCTAAGGAGAGTTCAGAATTGGGGTGTGGGCAGGTAACAGTTCCCTTTGAAAATGTTATCAAACTCTAGTATTAGTGGATCACATCAATGTCACTGAGAATGTGACAGGCACTTTCTGTGCTTTTCATGAACTTGATATATTGATTTCCATTTTATATATGAGGAAACTGAGGCTCTTGGAGGTTAGTTTGTTCAACGCGCAACTTGTAAGTGGTAGCGCTTGAATTTGAACCTTGGCATTGAAACTCGAGGTGTGGCTCTTAGCTACTCTTCCCACAGAAACACACATTGGCACCTACACATATAAGGTCAAGTAGACCTGTTGAGTGTGAGGTCCAATTGAGCTTGTACCATCTCCCCTCACTGTACTCTCCAGGAAGGGAGCTTTCAGAGATCAAGGCCAAGGCCCTGATAAGAGCCCAAGTCTGGAGAAAGAGTGGAGTTTTGGTGGGAACAGAAAAGAACTTTCTCCCTTTGAACAAACTTTCTCAGGGTTCTTGGGGATCATCTCTCACAGGTGATGGGTAGAGCAGATGGCCCAGGCATCCCTACCACCGGAAGGAACCCAGAGGTGGCTGCAAATAAGGTGATGAAATGTGCTCAAATTAAATTGTGGTTGCACAACTCTAAATTCACTAAAAATCACTGAATTGTACATTTGAAATGGATGAATTTTATTATGTAAATGATACCACAAAAAAGCTTTGGCTTAAAAAAGGAGGGGGGCAGCAAGTGAAGTAGGGAAATAAAGGAAATAAATAAATGAGGAGGCCACACAGATTTACATTTAAAAAATCAAAAGGAGTCCTTCACATCAACATGCAGTCACCAGTTTGCCTGCCAATTAGGGAGAGAAGCTAGCTCTCCTTGGTGTCCCCAGTAGCTGGGCAGTGGGCTGTGATCACTGTGAATTCAGAACTTGTCTTCTTTCCACCACCACCACTAACATCTGGAGACACTGGGCAGAGCTAGGTGAGTCAAGGTACACAGGACTGAGATGTGGCAGGGGTGCTGGGAGCTCAGGCTGTATTTATAGGAAGGCTCCTGAACCGGCAGAGAAGAGTAGGATAGTCAGGAGTTAAGAGTCTTACTGAAGCCGGGCTCGGTGGCTCAGCCTGTAATCTCGCGCCTTTGGGAAGCTGAGGTGAATGGATTGCCTGAGCCCGCAGGTTCGAGACCCGCCTGGGCAGGCGAGACTTCATCTCTACAATAAATTAAAAAAATTAGCTGGGCGTGGTAGTGTGCCCCTGTAGTTCCAGCTACTTGGAAGGCTGAGGTGGAAGGATCGCCAGAACCCAGCGGGTCGAGGCTGCCACTGCACTCCAGTCTGGGTGACAGTGAGACACCAACTCAAAAAAAAAAAAGTCTTACTGAGGAGGCACTAATCACAAAACCATGTGAAGGCATTAACACACTGCAGGGCAGAAGGCAAGCAGGCTCTTTGCTCTATGATATGGATTGAGAGTCTGTGAGAAGGGTGGGCGGGGTCTGCATCCAGGATCCAGGTTCATCTCTCCTGCATTGTATTGGTGGCAAAGAGACTAATGCTATGAAACATACGGCTACTTTGCAGTATTGTTCATTTTAATTATAGGATTCCTGGGTCACAAGAGGATGGTAACTCTATTCTTCCCTGCATGGAACACACACCAAGTTCAAAGTTGGGCTGCTAAGGACCCAGAACAGATGTGGAATTGAAAAGGATAATACAAAATGTTTTGAATGTATAAAATGACACCAAAGGAAAGAATGAGGTCTCAGGAAATACCTGGAGATGCCACACTGGCAATTTCTAAATGTTGCCCAAGCATTCAGATGCTTTCTCCAGAAGAAAGAAAAACGTTAGCACAGTGCAGATTGTTTTATTCCACAAATATATAGTGATCTAAAAACGTTAGCACAGTGCAGATTGTTTTATTCCACAAATATATAGTGATCTCAGTGTCAGTTAACCTTGATAGGAGAGTTATCTAAAGTCTATTCTCATTTCACAGGGGGTAGACACTGAACAACTGGAATGGGTCTACTGGTACCCTAGAGTAGTAAAAACCACACATTTCTCTTTCCCTTTTTTGGTTTATCTTTGCCCACTCATGTTTAGAGCATTCATGTTTAGAGTGGTCTTCAGCTGGTAACATCTAAGTGCCTCTGGAGAGCACTGGCTCTCAAATTTGAGTGGGGTGTGTATCACCTAGAAGGCTTGTGGCAGATCCAGGTCCTGTTCCCAGAGTTTTTGACTGAGTAGGTCTGGAGTGTAGTCTAAGAATTTTCTAACTAGCTTGCTGGAGATGCTGCTGCTGGTCCAGGGACCTCACTGACAATGGTCTAGAGTGTTTAAGAAATGAATAGATCTGGGCATGTTTGAAAACTGGAGAATTGGCTGGGCTCGGTGGCTCAGCCTGTAATCCCAGCACTTTGGGAGGCCAAGGAGAGAGGATTGCCTGAGTCCACGGGTTCGAGACCCACCTGGGCAACTTGGCGACACCTCATCTCTACAATAAATCAAACAATAAATCAAAGATTAGCCGGACATGGTAGCGTACGCCTGTAGTTCCGGCTACTTGGAAGGCTGAAGCGGAAGGATTGCGGAGCCCAGCAGGTTAAGGCTGCGGTGGCCGGGAGCGGCCACTGCACTCCAGTCTGGGCGACAGAGTGAGACTCCAACTCAAAAAAAAGAAAAAAATAAATAAAAAGAAGATACTCAGATGTGGCGATATGCAGTTCTGGGGTGTTGTGAATTTGCTGGGGGTAGGGGGTTGTGTGTTTACCCAGCCCATCAGCTCACCATTTGAGAGTCTTAGGGAAGCAGAACTTTGACTCCACTTAGATTCTTGAGTGAAGCCCTCTGACTGGGGCTAAGCAGATTAAGAAGAATCTTTTTTTTTTTTTGAGTTGGAGTCTCACTCTGGCGCCCAGACTGGAGTGCAGTGCTTGCCGCTCCTGGCCACCGCAGCCTCGACCTGCTGGGCTCCGGCGATCCTTCCGCCTCAGCCTTCCGAGTAGCCGGAATTACAGGCGCGCGCTACCACACCCGGCTAATTTTTTGATTTTATTGTAAAGATGAGGTCTCGCCTGCCCAGGCGGGTCTCGAACCCGTGGGCTCAGGCAATCCACTCACCTCAGCCTCCCAAAGGCGCGGGATTACAGGCTGAGCCACCGAGCCTGGTTAAGAAGAATCTTAAAGTATCACTGTATGTTCAGACTTTCGAGTAAGATCAGGAGATTCATTTGATCATCCAAAGAAATTGTGTGTGGAGTGATACACAGTAACATAAGGACTCAATAATACACATTTGTTTGAATAAATGGTTATATAATTTGTGATGAGATGCAAAACAAGAGGTAATTCTTATTGGTATAGAGTAGCATTTCTTGATTCTGACTCCATGTTCAGATCGCTTGGAGAGCTTTAAAATCTGGATTCAGTTGATATGGGTTGGGACCTAGGTACTAATATGCTCTAAGAGCATCCTAGGTGATTCTCATGCAGCAAGCATTGAGCATTAATTACCATCCAGAGCAGTGAATAGGGCCAGCATCATCTAACCCTTCCTGTGCTGTATGTTAGGATCAGCTAGAGTGATTTTTAAAAAATATTGGTACCCCTAGATATTCAAATTTATTTCATTTAAATGGGGCATGAACATGTTATGTTTTAACAACTCCTCCGGGTTTTCTAACATGCAGCCAGGGTTGAGAATCACTGGTCCAGGGGGAATATCTGATTGCTTCATAATAGTCTACTTCAGAGAGTTCTTAGGGGCAACATCAAATTGAAGTTAATAAGGACTTTGAGGGGCTGAACTAAGAGACAGAGCAGTGTGGGCAGTTGAGGGAGGGGCTTTGCAAAGCTGCACTTGTTACTTCTCTGATACTCTGAGCTCTCTTTCTTTTTTCTTTTTTTGTTTTGTTATTTAGTTTTTATTTCTCTGCAATTCAACTAGACGTGGAAGGGATAAGGAAAATATGGAACCCAAAGAATTGTAGCGAGAACACAAAGATTATAGGGATACTGCGAGCAAATGGGATGGAGGCGGTGCTCTCCTGAGCTACAGAAGGAATGAACTGGTAGTTTAAGATAAAATAAGTCAAATTTATTAGAGTTGTCCACAGTCAGCAATGGTGATCTTCTTGCTGATCTTGCCATTCTTGGACCCAAAGCCCTCCATGGCTTGCACAACATTCATGCTCTCTTTCACCTTGCCAAAAACCACATGCTTGCCATCCAACCATTCAGTCTTAGTAGTGGAGATGAAAAACTGGGAACCATT